GTCCCACACCTCCTCTCTTTTCCTGCTGCATTGACATCCCCAAATCCTCCGTCATGGCTGTGCCCAGAGAGAACCTCAATGGGAGCAACACACCCAGGCACAGCACTGAGCCGTCTGGTCCCTGTCATGGTCACCCAGGACAGCCCCTGGCGCCATAGCACACCTACACAGCCCCAGGCTCACCTGCTGGCGGGTGATGTCTGGCTCCCAGAGGGTGCAGAGCACCACCTGGGCCTGCTCCACCCTCTGCCTGTTGCTCATCTGGCTCTGCAGCCGGCGGCGAGCAGCCTCCTCACTCAGCCCATCCCTAGCCATGATGCGTCTCACGGCCTGGCAGGGACACAGAGGACACTCAGGCGCTTAGGGGGAGCTGAGGACCAGCCCCAGCAGCAGGTGAGGGGCCCAGGGCATGGCCCACCTCCTCCTCCGGGATGATGGTTGTCCACACCTCGTGGACCATGTCCTGCCAGCCAGCCTCCAGCAGCACAGCAGCATCCAGCACACACACAGCCTTCCCTGCAGAACAAGGGCATTCCTTGTGCCTGGCCATGGACAGCAGCAGCCCCTCGGGCCCAGCCCAGCCCAGGCTCAGTGCAGATGCTTTGCTGCGGAGCCAGAGGCTGCACAGAGCCGCCCCTGTTACCTTGAGCACTGGCCTCCCCAACCAGCTCCTTCACCATCCGTGCTATCTCGGGCCACACGATGTCTGTCAGGCTCTTCAGCCGCTCCTAGAAAGGACCACGGTGGGATTTGGGATTCAGGCCCTTTCCCCCAGAACCCCTGGGCAGCCAACCAGGGCATGGTGGGTGTCAGCACACACACAGAAGGGACCTGCTGGAGCTGGGGGTGGGGACAGCAGCGGAAGGTGTCGTCAGCTCAAAGGGCTGAAAACTAAAGAGCCTCAGCAGAGGGGGACAGCTCCCTGCTCACAGGATTAAGTGCTGATAGTCCCTGTGCTGCTTTTACCTGGTTTCCAAACACTTTGGCCCCAAGGACTTTCCTGTTAATTGTCCCATCCTCATTCAGGATCTCTGCAAGACACAAGCACAACAGGTTTGGGGGGAACCAATGCAATTCCCATCCCCGAGTCAATCCTGGATCAGGGAAAGGGCTTCGGCATGGGGCTCTGAAGAGAACCCAGAGAGAGGCTGTGGGACCTGACCTCGCAGTTTTTCACTCAGTTCCCCAAGAGAACAGGAAGAGAGATTTTCCCAGGCAAATGGCAGCTCTGACATGGGACATACAGCACGTGGGGAGCCCAAAACCCATGGGGCAGGAACAGGCATAGGCAGAGGCTTCCTGGGACAATGGCTCACCCCTCCCTCCCCTTCTTCCTCCAAGTCTTCCCCGCAGCCTTTGGCGGCTCTACCTGCCCCAAAGGTTGTCACCACC